AGTTTAGACAAAAACTGTAAAAAAAAATAAAATAATAATAAATATAATTTTTATTGTAATTGTTGTAGTGTAATTTGTAATAAATAAATAATAAAAATACGATTAAAATGAATTGAAGATTAGATTAAAATAAAAAAAATTAATTAAAATAAAATAAAAATAATAAACCAATAAAATTATAAATAAAATTAAATTGAAAATTAAATACATTTAACAGTACAGCACTATAATGAGTAGGAAAAAAAACACATAAAATACAGCTTAATAGAAACTAGATTTAAAAAAAAAACGTATTTATATAGTTATTTTTTAATAGTATAAATTGTGTCTCACTTTAATAAACCTTGCAAGAATTATCACATTTAGGGGATCATTTTTGGTATTAGTATGTTTTTGGATAGGTTATTAATGTACCGTGGTATTCTTATTAGAGCTTTGGAGCGCATGTAAATGAATCCATGGTAAATGAATATGAAAATCATATAGTGCTATTATATATCATGCAGTACATCAATAAATATCAAATTACTATATTACGAACATTTTTTGTATGTAATAGCTAGTTTTCAGCATCCAGTGAAGTTTTGTCATCAAACATCCTGTTGTATTCGTAAATGCAACACATGATGAAAGTAAATTAGGTGTTGATTATTGACCTACAAACGTAAATTTGTTTTTGACCTTTGACTCCAGATGCTGGCCACATCTCCATCAGGTGTGTGTTTCTATGACGATGACCCTAGTCAGGTTATATGTCATTTAATCGTGGCATCGGTCACGTGGCAATCCAACACCTCTAATGTAACCCAGCTCCCATTTACCCTGTTTTATTTAGATTACCTCGTGGGTATTAGTTAGTTAGTTAGCTAGCTAGTTAGAGCGTGAGGAAACAGTTTCCAGTCTTGTGGTTGGGTGTGTGAAAGTGTGTCGGGGGATTGAGGTGTGTTGTGTAGATGCTTCAGATTGTGGTGTGTGCCGTATCATTTTCTAACGGCTCTTTCGCTTTTGCTTGGGCTCAGGCTAGCGGATGTTTCAGCCGTCTCCATGGAGTTTCCTCAGATGACACGCCGCTTCAGTGCTCGGGGATTTGGGTGAGTCAGTGCGTCCCGTACTACTGCACAACACGTGTGTGTCCTGATCCATGGTGATGCAGTGGCTCTGAGCCCGTTCTGATCCCGGCTGAGTCCTCATGATAAAGCCCATCATTCTGCTGCTGGATGCTGATTGGTCGATACAGCGTTCCGGTTTATATCATTGCACAGCATCCATAGAGACCAAGTGTTAAGGGTAACTTACATGTCACCACTAGATATGCTAGTATAAGGGTGACACTTTTTATTTTTTTTATTATTATTATGGAGTAACAGCTCAAGGCAGCTGCATGTTAAGTATAACAATGTCATTAATCTGTGATATATTTTTTTTTAATTGATAACATTATTAATATGAGGTAAATATTCCTATTCTTGCTTAAAATGCTCTCTCTATATTTAAAATTATAAAATAAATAAAAGACAAATATTAATTATAATTAATAATGATGACTGATTTAAAGTAAATATTTGACTTTAGAATTTTGTAAATATTCTATTTTATATTCTATCTTATAATCTTTATAATTTGTTATCCCATCCCAATTTGTTATATCCCATTCTAATTTTATATATATTTATATATATATATAATAATTTTTTTCACAGTATTTATAACATATTGTCACAGCTAAAGGACATTGTTAGGCAAAGGTTATAAACTGGCGATACAGCATGCCGTCGAGGGTCTTTGTATTGGATTCCTCACGTCTGATTATGACACTAATTCATATTTGACATGTTTTGTATTTTATTGCTGCATTCAAAAGATTTTTGTGATTTATACGTTTCAAAGGCATAACAAAATGTTGCTCATAAGTAAACTGTGTCTGACGGCTCTTTTGTACTCAAGAAAAATTATTTAGTTTTATTTAATATTGAACACCCAAACAAAGGCCAGAAACAAAGAAACCCACATGATGAATGATGGACACGCATTGTTCTCATTCCTCTGAAGACACAGACAGCTCATTATAAGTGTGTTATTCCGAGACCTTCAGATGGGATCCCTCGACGTTTAGCCAGGTCTGTGCAACTCGCCCCGGCCTAATAACACAGTTTTTTGGTACGTTTGCTCATGTCATGGTGGAAGCATTTATGAGTTCTTCATGTCATTATGCAGCCAATCAGAATGCGGGAGGAGCGGCGGCTCCGCCCCCTGACTGCGAGAATCACTACGCAAGCCGTCACACGCTGATTACTAGTTCAGCAGCCACAATGAATAGATTTCACCACACTGGTTAGTTAGCATCCCGCCCTGCCGCTGATTCACATTGTATAACTGCTTTACTTTGTTTGGCAGGATAAGATTCATACAAGATGATTCAATGGGTCTGCTTTACCAAAAAAGGCAGAATTAAAAAAAATCACAGGTTAAGAAAACAGTTATAGAATAGTGTTAAAGGGGTTATATGATTTAGTCTTTGCAACTTTAGGGATCTTATCTATTCACAACCAGCTTGTAACACTCCAAAGTGAAAGGAAAATTTGAAATTATATTTGCATCATATGACCCCTTTATCCGCAGTGAGATACGGCGTCCGTTCGCTGTGTGGAAGGAAGTGGAGCTCAGGTTCATCTAGGGAACTCTGTGTTTGTGACCTCGAAAAGAGGAACAATATACGTGCAATATAGATTCATCTGATCGTCATTGTTCTTTGGAAGTGGGATGAAAAGGGTTGTGAAATCCTCCACACTCTTCTTTGACATTTACACTAAACTAACATGAACGTGAAGCATAATTGACCCTACACTTATTACACTGTTGCTTTAAAGTGACTCTCTGTTTGATTCTCCATGATGAATCTTTGATTTGAATCTTCAGGGCATGGTGACTGCTGTCTGTCAGCCAGAGCAGCGGCGTCTAGCAGGGGCCGTCTGGACCTGAAGGAAGACCTCTGAGACGTGGACGGGACGACCAAGACGGGAACGAGAGCGGGAGAGACATGGGTCAGTGTGTGACTAAATGTAAAAACCCCACATCCTCTTTGGGCAGTAAAAGTGGCGAAAAGGATGCTGGGAAATCGCACGGTAAAAAAGGCGGCGGTATGGGCGGCGCGCACAAGGAGGAAGTGGCCAAGTCCTCCGTCGACGTCATATTCAACGGCACCAAAGTGTCAGAGGTGACGGTGGAGGGCAGCACGGCTCCGGCCGTCTCCGCGGAAGTGCAGCGGGAAAAGAGCACGCAGGACGGGGGAGGAGTGTCGCTCGCTCAGATTCATGACTTGTTCTCGTGTTATAAGGACGAGTATGAGGATGCCATCCTGGAGGAGGGGATGGAGCGCTTCTGCAACGACCTGTGCGTCGATCCGGCTGAGTTCAGAGTGCTGGTGCTGGCATGGAAGTTCCAGGCTGCTACCATGTGCAAGTTTACAAGGTGAGTTTCTAGTAAGTTTATAAGGTTTGTTATAGACTACTGTCGGTAAGATTTTTAATGTTTTTGAAAGAAGTCTCTTTCAAGGCTGCATTTATTTGATAAAAAATACAGTAAAATTGTGAAATATTATTACAATTTCAAATAACTGTTTTCTATTTGAATATCTTTTAAACTGTAATTTATTCCCGTGATCAAAGCTGTATTTTCAGCATCATTACTCCAGTCCTCAGTGTCACATGATCCTTCAGAAATCATTGTAATATGAGGAAACATTTCTTATTATTATGTTGAAAACCGTTGTGCTGCTTCATATCTTTGTGGAAATGGTGATATATTTAAATTTTCAGTATTCTTTGATGAATTGAAAATGGAAAAGAATAGCATTTATTTGAAAAAATTTTTACATTATAAATGTCTTTACTGTCACTTTTGATCGTTTTAATGCATCCTTGCTGAATAAAAGTATTAATTTCTTACAAAAATTTTTTTGGAGAATGCAATCTTAGAATACATTGCTTCATAAGAACTTTGTGTGTGTGTGTGTGTGCATGCTCTGTATGTTATTGTGCTTTTGAGGGTGTCATTAAGTATTTATACCGTGCAGTTGATTACCGTATCCCAGAATACAATGCACAGAACTTGATCTTCCATTTAATGTGCAACAGAAGACCTGGAAGTTACACAAATCATCATTTTTAACAGTTGTTTCATCGTTCAACAGTCAAAATTGAATTATTGCACCATAAGCAATACACTAATATTGCATTCTGAATAGCCACAGAGTTCTACAGCACTGCATTGTGGGTATTATAAGGTTCTAAGGCAAAATATGGAAAATGTAAAAGTTCAGTTGAAGAAAACAAAGTAATAAAGAGATGTTTTCCCAGTGTTCTTGTTGAATAGCTGTGGAGTGAGAGATGATTAGTCAGTGCAGTTTCTCCAGAAACAGACAGAAACTTGCAGAGATTGCTTCATCACGTCAGAGTGTTGCAATGACGCCATTTGCAGTTGTGTGTTTGGCAGTGGGTTTTTTCCTCAATATTAGTTTGACCTTAATTTTCAGAGTAAGGCAAGCTACATAATCAGATTACTTTTTTCAAGTAAGTAGTAAAGTAACTCATTACTTTTTCATATAAGTAATGCCAGTTACTTTGTTTTTCCATGTATTGACTGCTGGCTCTCCTGTCGCCATGTTAAGAGAAATCAGAGGCGTTGTGTGCGCTGTGTGAACATGATGTTACTGTAGTGCCAGACTAAATGCGAACATGCATTTACTCACCTCACTTGCACAAAAACAGATTCATTATTCCTCAGTTTTTGAGTTGCGCCCTCTACTGTACAGTCGTGAATTTACATATACATATACATTAATATACATTTTAATTTATATTAAAAACAAACAAGCAAGCACAGATGAGAAAAAATAGCTTTCCATAAAAAGTAATGCAATTGACCCGTTGCAAAGACCCGCCCCCCTTAGTTACTGTTGCTACGTCCAACAAGCCATGCCGCTCTCATGCCACACCATGTTCTCACGCAGTGAAAAATACATCGCAGAGCAAAGAAGAAACTGGAAACGCACCGACAGACGAGACGGAGCAGGTTACTTTTGGTATGAAACAAAGTCTCAGCTTTCAAATTGTTTTTTTAAAGAAATTCTAACAATAAATACTGTTTTGTGGCCCTGTAATGTGTCGTGATAGATCACTGTAGCTCCTCAGTTCAAGCAGCACGTGAACCAATCATCTCTTCCTCTTTACTAGTTATAGCACTAAATAAACATGAATGAACATCAGAAGGTATCTTGTTTCAACTGCAGAAAGACGTCGGTACACACCGTTTTTCAAGTTCAAGTCCACCGACGGTAATCTACTCTCCTGTCTGGTTTGTTTGTCAGACAAAATGCCAGATTCAGCGTTATGATTGGTCAGATTGCCTGTCAATCAAACTCCCGGCGAAGGGTCAATTAGTTACTTTTTTAACGCAAAATTGTAATGCATTACTTTTAAAAGTAACTTTCCCCAACACTGTTAATGTTGATGTACTAAAATAACTAGTGCTGTCAAACGATTAATCGCATTCGAAATAAAAGTTTTTGTTTACATAATATATGTATGTGTGCTGTGTATATTTATTATGTATATATAAATACACACACAGGGTGAGTAATTAATGACAGAATTTTCATTTTTGGGTGAACTAACCCTTTAATAAAACTTACAGTATATAGACCAGAAGTAACTCATAAAAATTACAACAAAATGACTAAACCATTAACTAAAATGAACAGAAAATACATATATGGGGTTTCCACTGTAAATACGTCACATTACAGAAGTAAAATGGGTTGCAAATGTTGACGTTACATGTTTTGCACTTGTGTCTCAGGAGGGAGTTTGTGGACGGCTGTAAGGCGATCCAGGCCGACAGTATCCCAGGGATCTGCTCTCGGTTCTCCATGCTGCTAGAGGAGTCCCGTGGAGAAGAGAGTTTCAAAGATCTCTACCGCTTCACCTTCCAGTTCGGGCTGGACGCCGAGCAGGGCCAGCGCTCACTGCAGCGCTCCATCGCCATCGCGCTGTGGCGGCTCGTCTTCACGCTGGACACGCCGCCGCTGCTGGAGCACTGGCTGGACTTCCTGTCGGAGAATCCGTGCGGCGTGCGCGGCATCTCCCGCGACACCTGGAACATGTTTCTGAACTTCACGCAGAGCATCGGCCAGGACCTCAGCAACTGTGTATATTTATTATGTATATATAAATACACACACGTGCATGTATATATTTCAGAAAAATATGTTACGTTTACATATTAAATATATTTATTTATAATATAAATTGTATGAATATTAATATAGAGATGTAAATACATGCAAATATTTTCAAAATATATACTGTAGCGCTCCATCGCCATCGCGCTGTGGCGGCTCGTCTTCACGCTGGACACGCCGCCGCTGCTGGAGCACTGGCTGGACTTCCTGTCGGAGAATCCGTGCGGCGTGCGCGGCATCTCCCGCGACACCTGGAACATGTTTCTGAACTTCACGCAGAGCATCGGCCAGGACCTCAGCAACTACAGCGAGGACGAGGCCTGGCCCAGCCTGTTCGACTCCTTCGTGGAGTGGGAGGCGGAAAGACGGCGGAGAGAACAGTCGGACGCCGCCGCCTCTGAGACGGACTGCGAAGCTGCGTCCGTTTGGCCGGGAACTTGAGGGATGGTGGTGAATTCTGGACAATGACGTGCGGAGGTGTTTCTGAGCCCGTCGCTCTCTATCCTATTCTAATTATTGTTATGAAATTTTCGGTCTTATCGCATTGGGCATCCCGGTGCGCTCTCAGACTTTTGTTTTAATGAAAGGGCTCCAAACGAATAGTTTTTTTTAAGCACTTTTATTTAAGTTATTGCTATTGTTCATTTAATTTGTTTTAACGTTCACATTTCATCCAGAGCGGTTTCTTCTCGCTAATATTTTGGGATTGACCAACACGCCAAAGAAAAGGGAATTCTGTCAGCTGCTTACCGAGTTCGAACACACACACACACAGATATTTATGCATACAAGAAACCCGCGCGCACACACACACACGCCAGCATAAACGCTGCAGGGAATGTGTTTTAACGGTTATTTTTGGTTGAGGGGTGTGTGGTGGTTCTGCTGGTTCTGTTTAACATCAGACTGTGGTGATTGATGTCCTGAAGCCCTCAAAACCTCATTTCTCACATGTGCTTCCCTAATCATTTCTGACTTTATTTTGTTCTTATCATTCACGTCTCCTCTGATGCGTTCATTCATTCTCATATATTCTCAGTGGTCAGATGTGTGTGAGTGGGAAATACAGATTCATTTGCAGTTGGATGTCTGCTGTGAGCTTTTTATTTTACAGTTTACATTATTTTTTTTTAATTCAAAGTGATTTCATTTCAGTCTTTTTTGTCTGGTTTTATATAAATGATACAGTTTATAATGAATAAAAATGTGTTCAAAATTGGACTTGGATTTTAGCGTCTTTTTATACGGTTTGTTTTACGTTGGATTTGTGAGAGATTCACTTTCTGATCTCTGATGTTCAGTGCATCATCTGACCAGAGGTGATGTGGATCTGTGTAGCAATTGTTGTTAAAATCAGACATTATTATTTGTACTATGCAGTGCTTTTTCATGTCTCTATCATATATGTCTTAATATATTGGGTAAGTTATTACATAAATGTTTTTTTTTTTAAATGATAGAAATCTTATTAGTATTGTTTCATCGCAATATATCAAGAATATATGTGTGGATTTGACAAAAACGGACAATTTATAAAAAAAAAATCTAATATTTATTTATTTTTACTTTAATCAAAAATGTATTGGAACTGGAATTTATTTTATTTTGTAATCAATTTATTTGTGTGTGTGTGTGTGTGTGTGTGTGTGTGTGTGCTTGATATTTTCCTCCTGTTAGTGTTTTGTAAAATCTCCAAAAGCCATTTCCTTTATGACACCAGCCTCCAGGAAGTGACATCATTTTGGAGGGAAAACAGCAAACACAGTGAGTATCATCAGTGGATTATAGAAACAGGAATGGTAATATTAATATTTTAAAGATGGTTAAAACAATATTAACTTTAGTTGACACCCACGTGTAAATTAACTCTAAATTAACACTAATTAGGTTCCTTCTTTTCAGTTTTCTTTTCATCATGTAAATGAATAAAGTTCAAGTCTGAGGGTTGATCAGAGAATATTTCTGAATGTCTTTTATAGAAAAACAAAAATGTGTGTTTTTTTTTTTTTTTTTAATTGCAGTATTCAATTTGTATTTAATGAGTACAAATATGCATAAACAGACCAAATAATATTACCGGAATGGTATAAATAAAAAGTAACAAACGTTTCTTGTTAGACTTATTAAACATTATTAATTAAGTATTAAAGTCAGTAGTGCACGATGAAATAAAATGCTAAATATTTGTGATTTTATGTAGTAATTTAGTGAGATAATATTAATAAAATAGTATTTAAAAAAATTCAAATGTATTGTTTTATGAAACGTGTTGTTATATCCTATGTAAATTGTATTGAAAGAAAAAAAGCACCTTTATTTTCAATTGATCGATTCATTTATCACAATTGACTGACAGATCTGTATGAATTTTGCGTCGTCCTCCTAATGAGAAGGCGTGCTGTGATTGGGCAGCGTCTCTGCGCTCTGCAGCTGTGTGGGCGGGCCTGTTTTTCAATAGCGCGCTGTGATTGGTCAATTTCTCGCAGTGACCGTCGTATGGGCGGGGAATGTGTTTAGAGGACGCGCTGTGATTGGTCAGCGTCTCTCCTGGTTACCAGCACGCCCTGAACGCAACAACACACAGATGCTCCAGCAAACAGAAGGGCGATTTCAGCTGAGAAATGTCTTGGACAGTAAGTTGACAGCTTTTATTATCCGTCACGTTTATTTCAGAGAGTGTAGAAATGAATATTAGAGTGAATATGATGATTTATATCGTAGAGTTTAATGGCGGAGAGGGTTTGCTTGTTGTTGTTGTTAGCAGAGAGGCTAATTATCAGCATGTGAACATCTGTATAACATCTGTCTGATCAGTTTGTACAGCTTTGTACATGATTGAGATATATGCTGTTTGTGTTCTTTTAGCAGTTTCTGCCTTTCATATGCACCAGTGCAGCAGCTCAGTTAAATCTAGAAAAGATCATTTACCTTTGCTGACCCACATAGTAATTAAAAAACCTTATTGTTTCCTTTTTATTTACATGCACTGAAAATAACTAACTGGAAACAACATGTTCAGACCAGGGTTATTATAGTTAGCTAAAACTAAAACCATAAAAAAAAAACAGTTTTGTTACTTGGAAAATGCTTTAAGATAGTCGCCAAGGCAACATTTCACATTTACTTTAACTTGATGTACTAAAATAACTAAAACTTAAAAAAAAAAGACAAAAACTTTTAATAAAATTAGAATAAAAACATGAAATATACCAAAATAATAAAGTCATAAATAATAAAACTAATTCAAATAATGAAAACTATAACAGTATCTCAAAGATACACATTTTCATAGATTCGGACATAATGTATAATAACACCATTTTGACATGATTCACGAATGTGTTACAATAAATTTACATTTATATTATGCAAGGGCTTACATTTATATTATGTATTATTTAGCAGATGCTTTTATGTGGAGGAACGAAGTAGCATAATCATAATAATAATGATAATAAAAGTACATACAAGAACACAAATAATATAAAAATAAATAAATGATAAAATTGTTATATAATAAACATATTTTCCTTTCAAAAGGACGGCTTCACAAAAAATCTTGTAGCTTTCCTGGTCAAAGGAAAATATGATCTTTATTTATGCTAAAAGCAGAAGTAGGTTTGGTCAAGGAGATCTGTTCCAGCATCAGTGCAGTGATTTAGCACCTGACAGAAACACATGAGCTGCGTATTGAAATGATGTTCTTCTCAATCAAGAGCAAATCTCCTTAGTTTGTCAGCTATAAATCGCACTCACACTTCGTTTTCTTCTTTTTCCTGTCTGTTTTCCCTCTTCTCTTCTGATTCACACTCCTCTCTAGTGTCCAGATGCTGTGATTGAAAAACAGTGCAGATTCTGTAAGAGTCATCCTGTCTCTCACATCTGTCTCTCTTCTTCCATGTCTGTCTCTCACGTCTTTCTGTTGTGACATCCCTGCTGGTTGCATGCAACAACAAGCAGATAATCCAAATGACTCCTATGAACTCATTATTCTTAAAGACTCACAAATCAGTCTCAGACTCAAGAGTTACTGGTTCACCTTAAAATGAAAATTTGCTGAAAATGTGCTCACTTTCAGGTCATCCTAGCTGTAGATGAGTTTGTTTCTTCATCAGATTTGGAGAACTGCATCAGTGTCTCAGCAATGGATGCTCTGCAGTGAATGGGTGCCATCAGAATGAGAGTCCAAACAGCTGATAAAAACATCACAATAATCCACACCACTCCAGTCCATCAGTTAACATCTGGAGAAGACAAAAGCTGAAACAAATCCATCATTAAGACATTTTTAACTTTAAACCGTCGCTTCTGGGCAAAATATGAGATATAATATCCATAATATTGCTTTCTTCAGTGAAAAAGTAATTTTGTCAATCAGGAGAGAACTCTGCACAGATCAAGCAGAAATATGCACAAGTCAAAACCATCCAAAACAAGTATGTGGGTGTATTTTGATGTGAGAGACAACAGCGGATGGACTTTTTCACTGGAGGAAGCGTAATTAGGGATTAGAGAACTGCATCAGTGTCTCAGCAATGGATGCTCTGCAGTGAATGGGTGCCATCAGAATGAGAGTCCAAACAGCTGATAAAAACATCACAATAATCCACAAGTAATCTACACCACTCCAGTCCATCAGTTTACGTCTTGTGAAGTCAAAAGCTGAAACAAATCCATCATTAAGACATTTTTAACTTTAAACCGTCGCTTCTGGGCAAAATATGAGATATAATATCCATAATATTGCTTTCTTCAGTGAAAAAGTAATTTTGTCAATCAGGAGAGAACTCTGCACAGATCAAGCAGAAATATGCACAAGTCAAAACCATCCAAAAGAAGTATGTGGGTGTATTTTGATGTGAGAGACAACAGCGGATGGACTTTTTCACTGGAGGAAGCGTAATTGGGGATTATGGACTTTTTGATTATGGATTTTTTTCTATGTTATAATACTTGCTTCTGTCACAGGTTAATATGCAGAGTCAACTGTTTGTCCAACTAATGACTGAGAGTGAACCTATCATTATTTTTGCATGTATTGCATATATTTTTGTTTCCTTAAAAATTGCTAAAAGAATAGTTCAGGAACCCTAATTGTCAAATGACTAGGAAATTCCTTGAGACTCCCATTGCTTCCCATCGGTCTCTCTGTGTCTGTGCAGCTTTATGTATCATCTGGTGTCTCATATTGTTCAGATTGACTGAGAGTTGTGTTGTCTGCAGGAGCTCGGGAGGAGCAGCGGAGGGAAACACTCCTCTGCCGAGGAGAAGCTGGATGAATATTTAATCAACCTGCAGCATAAAAACAGGTTTGATGACACACCCGGACACAAACGTACAAACACAGGTCAGATAACGCAAAAATAGGTTAACTGTGTGAGCTCAGGTTGAACGATATGGCTACTATTACAAGCACAGCAGGAATCACATGCAACCGCTGTTCTACAAGATTGGACCCGCTAA